GACTGTTGCTGTCATGCATAGCTAAGATTGTGAAAATGTTTTTTGATTAGTGCATCTGAATCAGATTATTTTTAGTGTACTGATTCATACATTTAAGGCTTAGTTTAGAATTTATTTTTGCTTTGCTTTCCTTTAAAAATTTTATTATTATACATTTATCACCATTTTTATTCACTTGGGAAACATACTATTTAAATTTTTTTATTATTTTATGTTGTCATTTTACATGTTTTAGGTACCTCATCTTTGCACAAAGATTATGACCAAATATTTTAGATGCGCAAAAAAAAAAAAAAGTCTCATAGTATGAGCTAAGCATGACAACAGCAGCTTCTCGCATATAAACCGTCAAATTAGGCCCCCTCTTTGAAAAGTTTCTGACTCCGCCACTAATATGTCTATTGGATATTCATATAAAATTATGATAATAAACTCTACATTTCTACCACCTTAAATATTTTAGAACACAATAATAATTAAAAAATAAAGTATACTTACAAATAAACAGCCCCTAAATAAAACAGTGAAGGCTGTCAACTTAGCTATTGGGCCGGTGAGGCAAAATTTTATTTATTCAGTCCAAAGCTTCTGTTGGCTTGGCCTTCTGTTTCTATATTTATTTTCTTCCTGGCAATTGGTTGCGGAGGGAGGCTAAATTTGGCTGCATTGAGTAGTGGGAACCAGATTTGCATGTATATAATTCTCAATTTTTTAACGCGAACATATTTTCCTGACATCAATAATGAATAAAACAGAATCACCAAAAACAAAAAATGATTAATGTTGCAAGTGCCAATTGGAGACGTTCTCGGTCATTCATTGCCAAGTGTAATAAAAAAATTCTCTTAGTGCTATTATTCGAGTATTATTGTCAGGCTATTATCCTTTTTTTTCATCATTTCTCTCATAATCTTTAGGGGTGTTAATATTTGACCCGACTCAATCTGATTCAAATATTTGGGGTTCGGGTCAACACGAATCCGAACTGTGTTGGGTACGAGTTTGGGTTAGAGATTTTGTTCGGGTTGATCCGAAAATCTGAAATCAACCCAGTTTGATTCATTTTTAATTAATAATAAACCATGTTGGCTAAACTAAATTAAGCTTGATTTATTTTATATTAATTGAAGTAAATCTTATCTTAATTTGATTTAGATTTGAATAAATCAATTTAAATAAAAAAAACTGTAAAACATATCTGAATGGGTTAGGTTCAGGTTGACCTGGAGTTGAAGCGGTTTGGGTTCGGATCATAAAAACTGACACGTTTGAAAAAACAGGTCAGATTCGGGTCAGGTCGAACAATGCTGGGTTAGCTTCAGGTTGGACCCGAACCCGACCCGTGACCCGATTTTGATAGTCCTAATAATCTCTACTATAACTATATGAAAGCATACAAATATCCTGATGTAATATCATCTTTCTTAATTGTGAAGTAGGGCGAACTTTTTATAATCTCAAGTGAATGATGAATTATTTATTGGAAAATACTTTTTATTTTTTTTGAATTTTGGATTAAAAAACTCTAATGCATTTTGCATTCTTTTTATTTAATTTGTCTTGTTTAAGTGTTATATGCGACTACCGCTCTCTTCGGCTTCCATTGCTTCAAGTTTACGAGAGTATGTGTGAGACCTCGTTCCCTTACTGTTCCTCTCTGATTTGAATTTTTCCTCTCAGTATCGTCCAGGCCGATCGGCACTGTAGAAAATATCGGCCTGAGAATAGTTCTGGGAGTCGTCCAGGCCGATCGTTTTTGGTCTGATCGTCCTGGGACGATCTGGCGATCGGCCGGGCCGATCCGACTAATGATAAATGAAAATCTGGTCGTTTTGATGAGAGAGAAAATATTTTATAAAACAAAATATCTGTTTTGAGGA